ACGTCAAAAAATTGTGTATACTCACCAATTCTTCGAGTGAATCGTGCATACCGTGACACAACAACACTTGCAGTGCCGCCGCTATCGCAAGAGGCGGGGACTTTGTTGCCAATGGTACGCATTTTGGTTGAATTTATATTTAGCTCCGTTCTCTTGGGGGTTATTTCCAAAGGGGATGTACTCCGTCGTATTATGACGGCCGTTTGAAAGATAGATTGACCGTTGAGAGGAGCATTATAGTTTCATGTACCTAATATCGTGGCGTGATGATATGGTTTTTTAAAAATAACGTTGATTTCTTATAGTGTTCTTGAAGCTATGCCATACTACCCGTTCAGCACGGCATTTATGCTTTATTTGGAGATGCTATACTAAGCTGCTCGCAATAGTATTCAACACCGGATAGGTGGTGCCCCAGACCGCAGTTTACTTTCGATGGGCTCTGGGTTCAAAGCGATATCCTTGACCATCGTCCCCGAGCGCAAGAAGTGTCTGTAGGTGGTTTCTCGTCAGCGCTCCGTTGACGAGCGCAGAGCTAAATATTTTCGAGCAATGATATCATGAGATCTCACCCCGTGCCTTTAGGCACGGTAGCAGAAACCGAGAAGCCCTGGGAAGAGGTACGCCAGGTCGAAAACTGTCCCAGTTCTCGAATGTTGAGCGAGACATTGCAGCATGTTGAGCCTTCCCATTATTATTATTCTCACGCAGTGACGCGGTAACGTCTGGGCTGTCTTCTCGTGTTCTCTATGCGTGGTACTTTGGATGGCCTTGGCGCGTGAGGAATAGTGCCAAAAGGCGATCCGCATGGGTGTGATCTTTTTGATACCTGCATTTGTGCTGTTGATTGGACGAGACACCCGTGTTGGCTGCTGACAAAGGTGTCGTCGGCAAATGTAACGTCCAGTCATTCTACCTTGTTTCCACGGGCTGGGTTATACATGCAATTTTACCTTACTGAGACACGAGGCAACTCACTGTCTATCTGACAGCATATTTAATTACGTGAAATGGGACAGTCCTCATTCAGTTGATATAGATGTAGACCTTAAGGATACAAATTCAGGGATAGACGTAGCTGAGTCTGAGGGCTCGGTTCTCGGGTGGTTGCTAGCAAATCACCTCATCAAAATGTGGCGGTGTCTGAATGAAAGGGTTTCCCAGCTTCCCCTTTCTGAGCGACCCGCCATGGGTGTGATCCGACACCCCTGGTTAGCCTCGCCACCGCCAAACTATCCAACCTCTAGTGCCAAAATACTTGCTAAAATTCCCTTTAATGGTTCATCACAGGTTACAGCCTTTAACCACAAGGTGGACTATTCTAATCATGACATCATATAGAGTATATTTACGCTAAACTTACTCTAAACTGCGGTTTGACCTAATTGGGAGCCTGTCGCTTACTTGGCTAAGATGGCTCGGCCCTCTCCTCGGGCTCTGATCTGACTGACGACCATCTTTCACATCCCGTCGTTCCGTCTGCATAAGGAGTTAGGCATTTCCGGTGGCAAGGATGGGACGTATATAGCTGGCTCGTGTCAGGAGTGCAGAAACAACCATCTTCCCGAACTCCCATGTCTCAAGGCTCCTACAACTACTATCCCCCCTCAAGTTCACGTCAAGGCTCACATGATAGACGTCTGCCCCCTATTAGAGATGTTCTGGGAGGTGAGTGGAGTGCTTGTAATTTCGTCTGGAAAAGTGGGGTAATAAACGGAACGATGACGTGTGCATAGACGAATTAAAGCGGCGTACGGCGGATCCTTATGCTCTTAATGATGTTCGATATGCACTCCCTTCCGTGATTCCTTCGGGTTCGACCTCTCGAGTGAGTAGATTTTTCATTACTTGTGGATCCCTCTCACACCTTGGTCACAGCGAGATTCAAGAGGTCCGACACTTCCGCCATTTCGGCATGGTGATGTAAGTCGGGGGCATAATGGAGCCTACACAAGCTCGTCGGGGTCTCGAGGAGGATACCCTCATGCCGACCACGCATCACATCAATCTCGTGATGTGACGTACAGTTCTCACGCTCCGCGACCTATAGGAACATTACGGTCATCCACACCAGCCCCGATGCCATCCTCGACACTTATTCAGGGGACCATTCCGTACGGCGGAAACGCCATCCCGGCAGCTTATGAAAGCGAACCAGAAAAGCGTCACAGGTGTGAGTATTGCGGCAAGAAATTCGATCGGCCAAGTAGTCTCCAGGTATGCGTTGATCCTCTGTTCGGATCGAAAAAAAGGCAGTGTTGCTCATGGATGCGAATAGGTTCATGTTCGGACGCATACGGGCTTACAACGTATGGTTTATCGCTGATACGTCGTTTGGCATCTCATTAATCATCGATTTGCAGCCTTCGCTTGCGACTGGCCGGGATGCACTCGTACCTTCAATGTCAAGTCGAATATGCTGCGTCACTATCGCTCTCACGAACGATCGGAACTCAGTCAGCACTCTCACGGCTATGGAAGCGACGATGATGAAGTGGTACTTGAATATCCAGGAAAGGGGTCATCATTTACATCTCAAGCTACCGGACAACCATCCAACACGACTTATTATTCTTCCATGTCATCTCGTCGATAATGCAACGTTAACGGAAGATCCATAACAAACACTCTGTATCCATGTATTAATGCCATTGCGATATCACATCTGATCGGCTCTTTCACTTCTATCTCAGCCATTCGCTGTCATGACAGTAGAGTCTTTTTTCTGGCTACGTCAATGTTCCCTACATGTTGTTTCAAATAGAGGATTGTATTGGGCCTCCGTTTTCCTATTCTTTTTTCTCTCTTCTCACTAAGAGCGCTAGACTATTATAATTGTCTTATTTGATTACATGTATGTATTTATCATTTGGAAAATGACCTCGGCACCAATGAACCTAGTTAGCAACTAGGTGATGCCAAGTTTGTACAGATTAGTTTCTACCCACTTGAAGGCAACCCACTTGAAGGCAAGTTTCTGGATAGCTAGGACTGACTGTTGACTATCGTTTTGATCAGTTATATAGCCTAGCCACCGGTAATACTATTTTTGGAAGATATCTCGATACTTATTTCGCCGATTAGACTTCCACACAGCTGCCAGTGTTGCCATGCATGATGGCCGCATGGCATGACAGGTATGTGCAATTCCCATCGGAAGGCCATTGGACCTTCCCTCTGAATCTTGTTGGTTATGGGAAACTGAGGCGGTGTGTCGAAGACACAGATTGGCAAATCTCTGAATGATTATCTCCACGTTACTAATTAGACTATTTCGTTTGAAAGAGGATCTGTGTCGCATCGCGTGCGTGGGCGCGATCATTCGCGTGTGCGCTCTAGCGCGTATGCGAAATCATATCACAAGTACATATGCCTTTAATTTTTCAGACATTGTATTAATGTATAATACAACTGCGCAGTAAAACGTAAAGATACATCAAATTAGGCAAAATGATAGAGTGGTGTCAGGGACAGGATATGGACAGACATGTTATAAACGCAAATCGGTTGTACAGGATACAGGCACTTATAGTGTACATATGGGGGATAATGCATGTACATGTATTCTATTTACAATTCTCTCCCATGCATAGCCTGAGATTTGCAGAGTGTGATCTGCAGGAATGGAATATTGGCAAGATGGATGGCGGTGCCTGATATTCATATGAAGCGCACCAGCCAGTTTTGCTGTGTATTACTATACAGATGTTCATCAATTTTACTAATCAACTTGCAAATGCACTTTCGTGGTCAACGTTCAGACGTTCAATGGATGATAAAACGGTGATTACTTGCTCAATTTTGTCAACATTTGGAGTGAACCATGTTTAAAAATTCACCGCCGGAACATGGCAGAATTTCGAAATATGTATCCAAAATCGTACTCATAATATTAGAATTCCGCCCGACAAAAATAAATATTGATGATCGTGTGTAGATCAGGAAATTGGAAAATTCGTACCTATTCTACCTGGATTGCATATTACGTTTAGCGAGCCTATAAACCTTGTGATATTAAAAAACGCCGAGTGTTTATCATCCTTTTAGAATAAATTACACAACATAGATTAGTAGGCCAGATAATTCTAGTAAAGTTTCTAAATGAAATAAATTTAAATTATATTAGCTATATTTGATAGGTCACATATATTAGTTGTGAAAACTCTCTAATACATTGTATCCCAAAGATTAAGTCATAACCCAAATAATCTTGTTAATCAATGACATTTGTGTATATTTGTGCATATTTTTAAAGGGCATACATGTCTCAAAAGAATTTTGTGGTAATGAAATATAAACTCATAGAATATGTAGTCATAGCCAGAAGGAAATAGTCTCACTTAAAAATGTGATTTCTAGGTAAAATTTTGAATATTGAACAAATTGTGGCCATCCTCCTCAGAAGTGACATGAGATGGGGCACTGTGCTTGAAAAATACATGGATGATGAAAAGTTCCACTAATTGCAGACATAATGGTATCATGTATAGGAATGAAAATACCTTGCTTGGAGAATCAATTGACAATGACTAGGATTGCAGTATGGCCCTTGGATGCTGGAAGCTGTTCAATTAGATCCATTGATGATGAATTCCATAGGCATTCTGGTATTGAAATATTGGAGTTCAGGCCAATTTTATTCTCTGCAAATAATTGCAAGAGTCTTGTTGAGTTTGAAATGTCCAGATATTGGGTGATGATGCTTGTACTGTAGGATTCTGTGTTGAAGGTTGTTGGAATTTGGTACATACAGTACATAGATATGATTGTCAAGTCGAATGAAACCTTGTGAGTCTTGAGAACATCAAGGCTGCTTGGGGTCCACAGGGTTGTCAAGGTGTGTCTTGATAACAGGATCTAATGGCATTGCTAATAATACATATATCTTTTCTATATTCATGATGATAATGCTACAAATGACTAAATGGATGAGGTAAGTTCCAAAGTCATGAGAATGGGTTTCAGATTATGCAGATTTTGATAAAATGTATCAAAGTGAATGGCTAGACTAGGAATTGAACCCAGAGTCTTTTGCACATACATATAGCAAGGGTGTTGCCACTACACCACCTGACCTTTGGTATGTAGGTCTGGTCTTACACTGCACTTAAGGATATAACCTCAAGTGCCTTTTCTATTAGATTATATACCCACTGAACTCAGAGCTGTATGCCAGAGAACAGAGGTTGGTATTTGTTAGGATCCCAGTCATTCAGCTCCCACAACCTTGCTTTACCCTCCAGCATCCTGCTATCAGTACCCTGACCATGGTGCCACCACCCATGGCTCCCTGATACTTGTTTCACTGGAGATTACCATTGAAAGGTTGGAGAGGAATCAGGTCTATTGAATGGGTAACCAAATGATATTTCAAAGTAAAATCTGTATCTACAAAACAATGTCTCAAGCTGGAATCAATAAGAGCCTGAAAAATGGAACTCCCAAGGGGATCAGAAGTCAAATTTACAAATATAAAGTCAGGATTAGAAAGAGCAGACACATTGAGGTGAATAGACTCTTTTGCATGGGGAGAGTCAATGCAACCCTTTGTCTGCAAGTGTCTTGGGTTTGCTGTCCTCACTCTTATAAATCTCATCCTTGAGACAGGGTGGGAGGCCAAAGTGAAACTGATGACAGAGAGTGGCATCACCCCATTGGCAACATATGGCAAGATTGTTGAATTGTACAACATATGTAGTCAGTGATGTGCTGATTGTCCTTCATTTTGAGGTTGGTGAGGCTGTTCTCAGCATTTATGATTTCATTGTACATTCCGAAGTTTGGTTTTGGTTCTTCTTCAGTCATGGAGCCAAACAGGCTTTTCTGGAGTTAGTCTGTGGAAAGTGGGTTTGAATCATGGGGCATAATTGACTTTCCAGGAATTTGAGGTGAAAGCTATGGAATGGTCAGAGAAATTACATTGCATGAGGAAAGTTGCCATCTTTGGGATCTCAATAAGTTGACAGGTATTCACTCACTTATTATTATTCATCATTTTTGAAAGATCTTTCTAAATATATTTTATTATGCCCTTTTTTAGTAGTGGTATAGGCTATATAGTTACTGAAGAGTTGTACTTATAGCCCAGTTTGAATGTTAACTTAGTTTGGTCTACACTCCTCAACTCTTTCTGCATGCTCAATATCCAGAACTCTTTAGAACCCCAGTATCACTATTTTGTAAGCACTGCCATCTTGAAATTAGAACACCCAAACATTTGGGCAAGGGCACAGGACATAAGCCTTGATGAGATTGCAATCAGAAACCTTGTGTCCACCTTTGCCACATAGCAGGCAGCAGTTATTATCCATGCAGCATTTGTGTTCTTTCAAAAGTTAATTTCCTGTCAGAACCTAGCTTGTCAGAGAGATCAGGTTTACTGAGGGTGTTAAGCTTCTTGTCATTCTTCCAGTTGGGATTTGAATAGCCATTATTGTTGTTGCCAGTAGGTTTGCTAGCCAATGCCTTGTTACTGTTTTGAGAGCATTTGCATGGGCTTTCATAGGAAATTTCTGCATGGCATTCTCAGTAATGAGTATCTGCTTTCTGAGCTTTCAATTGTATAAGCTGAAGAGTTTTCAGCTTTCCATCTTTACATATTTTACCCTTGAGGCAAGACATACATAAGACCCAAATTGAAATGATGATGAAAGGCAGAATCATCCCAACTGCAACAGGCTGCTAGGGTGTTGAACTTGACAAGGTAATTGGAAACTTGTTGATTATCCTTCATTTTGAAGGAAGTGATTTTGTGTTCTGTATAACTAGCTTGATCATATGGTCTGAAATTAGTTTCAAGTTCTTCAGTGAATGGATCCCAGTCATTGAGCCAGATGGGGACCTTGTCAGTAAGTCTGGAAAGTCCAGGTTCAACCAATCTTGAGTCACATCCTTAAGAAGAGAGAGAGCAAAGTTGATTTTCTGACTGTCATTCATAAGAGTGGATGGTCAATCTCTAAAACAGAAATGGCACTGTAGAAGGAAGTTCTTCAGCTTTTTGGACCCTTTCTAGAAAATGGTTCAGGCTCTTTAACTTTCACTCGAGTGGGTTCTTTGTTTTTACTGAGATATTCCATGGCATCTTCTGATTCTTTTGCTGTGTCAGGGACTTCAAAAGAATGATCTTCAAGGGGTAGATATAGTGGATAGTTGAATAGTGTAGAGCTGTAAGGGGGACTGAAGAATAGGCCAATCACAGTGATGGCTTTACACCTGGGACCCATGATGAATGAGTGGCAAGTTCGAACTCAAATATACTGTTGAGTTCCAGGTCTACTGGGCAAAGTATCTGGAGGTATTCTGGGGACCTAATGAATAATACCAGGATAATGGAAGGACTTGGTTTCAGTCAACTCTTTCAAAGCTTGTGCTGCAAATTCCTCAACTACATTGACCTTAAAGGATAATAAACCAGCCACCAGGCCAAAAAAAGAGTAAGGAACCCACCAGAATCTGCATGGACTGAGGGTTGTGTTGACTCTCTCTGTGCACATCAGTCAATCCATCTCAACACACCCACTCTTTGTATATAACTCTGACTCATTATTTTAAATCTTGTATCAGACCTTATTGGGAGTTCTGTTTTCTGGGCTCTCATAGATTCTGGTTCTACATACTGTTTTGTAGAATATTTCTCAAGAAACACTATTTGAAAACCTGATTAATACATACCTGCCATTCCCTTACATTTGTTTGACAGCAGTAGCACTACTGTTATTACCCAAACTTGCAACATGCCTATTCAGTTCCTATGTGGAACATCACAAATGGTTACATTCTTCATAACACAGTTGGACTCAAGTGGTTCAGTTGTTCTGGGACACAACTGGCTCACCTGACACACTGGGCAGTATAACATTCTGAATTCCCAACACTTCCATAACAACTACAGCATCTTGTCTGGCCAGAGCCTCCACAGTTTCAGTGGCATCCTTGGCTTCTATGGAAAACTTGGACTCTCCACACATTTCTCTTATTAACATCTCTGCTTTTATTAGGGCCAGTAATTTGGAGGGCTCCCAGTGTTCTTTGATCACCTTGAAAATTGATGAAGTAACAAGATATTTTGCAACTCTGGCACATTCCAAGTTTTATGTCAATCTGGATGGAGTCCCTGAAAAATACCACAAATTTACAGATGTCTTCAGTAAACAGAAAGCCAACCAGCTTGTACCTCACTGGCCCTATGATCTAAAATTTGATCTCAAGCCCAGTGCAAATTCTCCTCTTAGACTTATCTACCTGCTGTCCCAATCAAAACCCTCAGCTATCCAAGAATTCCTGGATGAACACTTATCAACAGGATTTATCTGATCCTCTAAGTCTCTGTTTGGAGCACCTGTCCCTTTGGTCAAGAAGAGGGACAGATCCCTTCACCTCTGTGTCAACTTCTGAGGGCTCAATGCATGCACAGAAGGACAAGTATCCACTTCCACTCATTACAGATCTACTTGATGCCCCTCAAAAAGCCTGAATTTATACTAATATAGACCTCAAACATGCCTATCATTTAGTCTGGATTGCTGAAGGTGATGAATGGAATTACCTTCCACACCCATTATGGTTCTGTTGAAATGGTTGGTTATGCCTTTTGGACTTACCAATGCTCCTGCCACTTTTCAATACTCTATTAATGATATATTTTCCAACATACTCAACATATGAGTTATTGTTTACCTCAATGACATCTTAGTTTGTTCTGAAGATCCCATGTCACATGAAGAACAAGTCTGTGAAGTTCTCCAGAGGCTCTGAAAACACAATCTGCTTGCAAATAGTAAAAAATATTCCTTTATACTATTGAATATTTAGGTTTTGATCAATGAACCTGATGGTCTTCACATGGATGGAGCCAAAGTTCAAGTTATCCAAGATTGGCCTGAACCTTGCAAGGTCAGGGACATTTAATTCTTCTGAGGTTTCACTAATTTCTATTGATAATTTATCCAGAATTATTCAGAGATTACCATTCCCCTTACTCATATCACTTGTAAGAATGCACCTTTGGTGTTTTGATGATAAATGTCACATTGCATTTCAGACTCTGAAGGATGCTTTTACATAGCTCTGCCCCAGTCCTCTTGTTATGTATTTCTAGGTTTTTTCTATTTTTCTCCATACTTTCCCCAAAGAAATTGCCAGAAAGAGCACTTAAAATGTAATTATATCACAACAGAATTATTGTAAAATATTCTCCAAAATTACCTTGAATTTACACAATTTATCTGGTATTTCTATCATTTAAATTGTGACAGCTATTAATTTTCTGTTCTTTATTCTTTTAAACTATATGTCACCAACCCGGTGAGTCAGCACTTAATGCACACACAGGAAGATTACATAAGCATATATGCTACTTGGAAAGTAATGGAAACTCTGGGAATATTCCAGTAGCTTCCAGGTAAAATAGCTAAAAATACAGTAGGTAAAACAAGTAGCTAGAACACTATAATGTCTCACTGTATACATATATGGAGCTCAGCTCCAGCACAAATATAACTTATTTTAACTTATCTACACTGTCATATCAGTGAGCCACTGCAGCAGCAGTTTATTTCACCCCTAGTTGGGCTGTTAGACAAATACTTCCACCTCTAGTTGAGTTGTTGGTGTCAATCTGAATCCTTTGTTACCTCTAGAATATATTTCTAATTCCTCCCAGGTTTGAATATAAACAAATGCGGAGAATATCTATACAAGATCTTTAAGCACTACATTAAGATCCTGATAAGTTAGTATCACAGTAGATCCAGTAGGTTAGTTTAAATAAAGCATATATTAGCCAAATATTGTTTTATTCTATAACTAATCTTTTGACCTGTTTATAAATAATTTTACTATTTGATAAATAGTATAAATTATATATAAACTAGCTAGAATCACAGGTGAATCTAGTTTTGGAATCAGTGAATTGTTATTCATATTTTAGTACATTTTCACAGAAAAAGAACAGCTTGTACAAGTGTCAGGGCTCGGCTCTAAGAGCTATGCAAGAGTACTACACAAACCCAAGTCGATATACGACAAGTGCTCATGCACCCAACAATGCGCATGGCACTGCTGACGGAAAGTAACTC